TATCAGTGAGGTATAATAACAGTGAGGTATAATATCAGTAGGGTATAATAATAGTGAGGTGTAATAATAGTGAGGTATAATAACAGTGAGGTATAATATCAGTGAGGTATAATAACAATGAGGTATAATATCAGTGAGGTATAATATCAGTGAGGTATAATAACAGTGAGGTATAATATCAGTGAGGTATAATAATAGTGAGGTGTAATAATAGTGAGGTATAATAACAGTGAGGTATAATATCAGTGAGGTATAATAACAATGAGGTATAATATCAGTGAGGTATAATATCAGTGAGGTATAATAACAGTGAGGTATAATAACAGTGAGGTGTAATAACAGTAAGGTATAATATCAGTGAGGTATAATAATAGTGAGGTGTAATAATAGTGAGGTATAATATCAGTGAGGTATAATAACAGTGAGGTATAATAACATTGAGGTATAATATCAGTGAGGTATAATAACAGTGAGGTGTAATAACAGTAAGGTATAATATCAGTGAGGTGTAATAACAGTGAGGTGTAATAACAGAGTGAATAATAATAGTGAGGTATAATAACAGTGAGGTGTAATAACAGAGAGGTATAATAAGTGTAATAACAGTGAGGTATAATATCAGTGAGGTATAATAACAGTGGGGTATAATATCAGTGAGGTATAATATCAGTGAGGTATAATAACAGTGAGGTATAATATCAGTGAGTTGTAATAACAGTGAGGTGTAATAACAGAGTGTATAATAACAGTGAGGTGTAATAACAGTGAGGTATAATAACAGTGAGGTGTAATAACAGAGAGGTATAATAAGTGTAATAATAGTGAGGTATAATATCAGTGAGATATAATATCAGTGAGGTATAATAACAGTGATGTGTAATAACAGTGAGGTATAATAATAGTGAGGTATAATATCAGTGAGGTATAATATCAGTGAGGTATAATAACAGTGAGGTATAATATCAGTGAGGTGTAATATCAGTGAGGTATAATAACAGTGAGGTATAATATCAGTGAGGTATAATAACAATGAGGTATAATATCAGTGAGGTATAATATCAGTGAGGTATAATAACAGTGAGGTGTAATAACAGTGAGGTATAATATCAGTGAGGTATAATAATAGTGAGGTATAATATCAGTGAGGTATAATATCAGTGAGGTATAATAACAGTGAGGTATAATAACAGTGAGATATAATATCAGTGAGGTGTAATATCAGTGAGGTATAATAACAGTGAGGTATAATATCAGTGAGGTATAATATCAGTGAGGTATAATAATAGTGAGGTGTAATAATAGTGAGGTATAATAACAGTGAGGTATAATATCAGTGAGGTATAATATCAGTGAGGTATAATAATAGTGAGGTGTAATAATAGTGAGGTATAATAACAGTGAGGTATAATATCAGTGAGGTATAATAACAGTGAGGTGTAATAACAGTAAGGTGTAATAATAGTGAGGTATAATAACAGTGAGGTATAATATCAGTGAGGTATAATAACAGTGAGGTGTAATAACAGTAAGGTGTAATAATAGTGAGGTATAATAACAGTGAGGTATAATATCAGTGAGGTATAATATCAGTTAGGTATAATAACAATGAGGTATAATAATAGTGAGGTATAATAACAGTGAGGTATAATAACAGTGAGGCAGTGAGGTGTAATAACAGTGAGGTATAATAACAGTGAGGTATAATATCAGTTAGGTATAATAACAATGAGGTATAATAATAGTGAGGTATAATAACAGTGAGGTATAATAACAGTGAGGCAGTGAGGTGTAATAACAGTGAGGTATAATAACAGTGAGGTATAATAACAGTGAGGTATAATATTTACATACAGACATTGTCAGACTAATAAAGTTACATTTAGAAAAAAAGTCTGTGTGTAGGATCCGCCCTGTGATTGGCTGAGCGCACCCGGCGCTCTGATCACGTGGTCACATTCACCATGGCGGCGCTGGAGGGCTGTGTGAGGCTGTGGCGGAGCCTGTGTCTTCATGGGAGCTCCCGCCGTCACCTGGCAGTGCTGCTGGCCGGGATCGCGCTGGGCGGGTCCCTCATCAAGGAGCTATGGCCGCTGCCGGACTCATACCTCAACAACAAGAGGAATGTGCTCAATGTGTGAGTGACAGGTCACCTTCCAGCAGCCAGCTGTGACCCTCACTCAGAGACACAGAGAGACAGCCACTGAGAGAGAGACAGCCACTGAGAGAGAGACAGCCACTGAGAGAGAGACAGCTACTGAGAGAGAGTGACAGGTCACCTTCCAGCAGCCAGCTGTGACCCTCACTCAGAGACAGAGAGACAGCTAGTGAGAGAGACAGCCACTGAGAGAGAGAGTGTGTGTGACAGGTCACCTTCCAGCAGCCAGCTGTGACCCTCACTCAGAGACAGAGAGAGACAGCTAGTGAGAGAGACAGAGACAGAGAGAGACAGCTACTGAGAGAGTGTGACAGGTCACCTTCCAGCAGCCAGCTGTGACCCTCACTCAGAGACAGCCAGCCACTGAGAGAGAGACAGCCACTGAGAGCGAGACAGCCACTGAGAGCGAGACAGCCACTGAGAGCGAGACAGCCACTGAGAGCGAGACAGCCACTGAGAGCGAGACATCCACTGAGAGCGAGACATCCACTGAGAGCGAGACATCCACTGAGAGTGAGACAGCCACTGAGAGCGAGACAGCCACTGAGAGAGTGTGACAGGTCACCTTCCAGCAGCCAGCTGTGACCCTCACTCAGAGACAGAGAGAGAGAGAGACAGCTACTGAGAGAGACAGCTACTGAGAGAGAGTGACAGGTCACCTTCCAGCAGCCAGCTGTGACCCTCACTCACAGACAGACAGACAGCTAGTGAGAGAGACAGCCACTGAGAGAGAGAGTGTGTGTGTGACAGGTCACCTTCCAGCAGCCAGCTGTGACCCTCACTCTGAGACAGAGAGAGACAGCTAGTGAGAGAGACAGCCACTGAGAGAGAGAGAGAGAGTGTGTGTGACAGGTCACCTTCCAGCAGCCAGCTGTGACCCTCACTCACAGACAGCCAGCTACTGAGAGAGAGACAGCCACTGAGAGAGAGTGACAGGTCACCTACCAGCAGCCAGCTGTGACCCTCACTCACAGACAGCCAGCTACTGAGAGAGAGACAGCCACTGAGAGAGAGACAGCCAGTGATAGAGAGTGACAGGTCACCTTCCAGCAGCCAGCTGTGACCCTCACTCTGAGACAGCTAGTGAGAGAGAGAGAGAGACAGCCAGCTACTGAGAGAGAGAGAGACAGCTACTGAGAGAGACAGCTACTGAGAGAGAGTGACAGGTCACTTTCCAGCAGCCAGCTGTGACCCTCACTCAGAGACAGACACAGAGACAGCTACTGAGCTACTGAGAGAGAGTGACAGCTACTGAGAGACAGAGAGAGACAGACAGACAGACAGCTACTGAGAGAGACAGAGACACAGATAGTGAGAGAGAGACAGCCAGCTACTGAGAGACAGAGACACAGATAGTGAGACAGAGACAGCCAGTGAGAGAGACAGAGACAGAGAGAGACAGCTAGTGAGAGAGGGACAGCCACTGAGACAGCCAGCCACTGAGACAGAGACAGCCAGCCACCTACTGTGACAGTCCCTCAAAGAGAGACCCACCTACTGAGAGAGAGAGAGAGCCACCCATCTACTGAGAGAGAGCTGTGATGGTCACTTAGAGAGAAAAACCCAACCTACTGAAAGAGAGAGACACCTATTTAGAGAGGGAGACACCGACCTACTGAGAGAGAGAGAGCTGTTAGTCACTCAGAGAGAGACCCCCACCTACTGTGACCGAGTGAGGGACTCCCACCTACTGAGAGAGAGAGCTGTTACAGTCATTCATAGAGAGAGACTCACCTACTGTGACAGAGAGAGAGAGCCTTGACATATAATAGTAACAATCACTCTGACTGAGAGAGAGATAATACAGACACCAACATACGGTAATAACCTCTGACACAGAGACTGACCACCTACTATACTATAATAGTAACCTTCTGACTGACAGAGAGGGACCCCCTGAGTCACTCTGCCTCCAGTCACCCTCTCCCTCCGTCTGCCACCAGTCACCCCCTTCTTCCCTCACTCTGCACCAGTCACCCTCTCCCTCCCTCTGCCACCAGTCACCCCCTTCTTCCCTCACTCTGCACCAGTCACCCACTCCCTCCCACACTCTGTCACTAGGCACCCACTCCCTTACTATGTCACTCTGCCACCTGTCACACGCTCCTTCCCTCACTCTGCCACCTGTCACACGCTCCTTCCCTCACTCTGCCACCTGTCACACGCTCCTTCCCTCACTCTGCCACCTGTCACACGCTCCTTCCCTCACTCTGCCACCTGTCAAATGCTCCTTCCCTCACTCTGTCACCTCTTCCTTCCCTCACTCTGCCATCACTATCCCACCCCACACGATGTGTCCTACACCCCTATCACACCCTTCCCTATGTGCCTTACACACTCTTCATAACCTACAAAATTACATCCCTATCCCATACCACACTACATAACCTACATACCTTTCCCACACCTCACTATATTCCATACACACACTACATAACCCACACAAATCATTTGTCAAAATATAATATTTTCGGTTTTCGACCAAGGGCATCCTGAATTTTCGGTTTCAGTTTCGGCCCAGAATTTTCATTCCGATGCATCCCTAAAGTAGTAATCTCTGACTATTAAATACACCGAGCCACCTACTGCAGAATAATAGCTATAACGTCTGACTCTGGGCACCTGCTGCAATAGAATATGAATAATCTCTGACCGCTGGGGGATATTGGTAATAACATTTGATTGTTTAAGACTGTCTAATCAGAGGACCTAATTTTTTGAAAAAATAATAGCAATTGCTATATGACTGACATAATGATGACTTTAGTCCAATCCAACGTTGTGACCTTAGGTGCATACATGGCAATTGTTGTGCTCTGCCAATCAAATGGTTGTCACAGAGAAACATTGAATCTAATGCTTTTACATTTGGCATCATTATGCTGGACATTAAACTGAATGTGAGGACCTTTTGATTTTCAGAGGTTTTAAGAGGAAGATCATTCAGGAGCAGTCACTCTGGAAGCCACTATACACATGGTTTTTGACAAATGTAACCTTGGCCTGTAAAAAGGGACAGGGCCTACGCACCAAAACCACTACATTTAGAGTCTTTAATGGGATAAAGGGCACCTTGTGAAATCATAGTTCTGTAAGTCATTTAATATAAAAAAAATTACCTCTGTTTCAGGTATTTTGTGAAATTTTCCTGGGCGTGGACCTTCTGGCTTCTCTTACCATTCATAGCGCTGACCAATTATGCACTTACTCAAAGTGTCAGATCAGTTCTACAACGTTTGAGCTCATTGGTGGTCGGTACGGTAATCTGGTACCTCTGCACAAGTTTTTTCATGTATGTGGAACATATCACAGGAAACTGCTATGAGTCCGAAGTCCTGGCCGAGCTTAGATCCCACCACAAAGACAGACATGAGTGCAAGATGAATGGGGGTTATTGGCATGGATTCGACATATCTGGACATTCCTTTCTGTTGCCTTTTTGCATCTTGACCATTCTTGAGGAAACATCAGTTCTTCTTGATAAACGACTTGAGAAACACCAGCTAGGGACTGCTATTAATGCTCTCTTTGTGGCCCTGGGGGTATTGTCCATAATTTGGGTTTGGATGTTCTGTTGCACTGCTATATATTTTCATGATGTCTGGCAAAAAATGATTGGAACCAGCTTCGGTATACTGGGCTGGCATGTGACATATCAATGGTGGTACTTGCAGCCATTTTCTCCTGGGCTTCCCCCTGGACGGACATCTAAAGATTTGAAGCCACACAGTTGCAACAATTAAATTTTTTTTTTTTTTTTTAGTTCTACATAATTCACATTTAAATTATTCTTGATTGTGAACAATTACAATTTATTTAATGCTAATTGTATCAATTTTTAAGTAGTGGCCAACAGCATTTGCACTGGACATTTCTCCAGTAAAAATGCCTGATAAAAAAACACGTTATAACAGAGCCATACGGGCACACATTTTACCTCCCTCTTCAAAATTGTGCCTTTGTTGTAGAACAAGTTAAATAGGTCTAGAAGTAAAGTAAGTAGCCTATTAGCGGAACACTCCAAGCACCATAACCACTAAATCTCTCGTGCCATCCCTCCAACCATTCTTGCAAGGCCTGCACATTGGCTGAGACTGTCTGCAAACCACATTATACACTATTATTTAAGGGAGAGAGTGTACGGTTACTACTCATTTTAGAGAATGGGGGTAACCCCTATGATTTAACAATTAATTCAAAAACGAGAGGAATAGGGAAAAAGCTATGAAAAACAACCCCTATAAGTACCAGAGTAACCCAGCAGTTAAAACTTAATTTCAATTAGAATTTAAAAACCGTTTTAACAATTCAAGGAATAAATTTATAGAGCTATTATAAATCTTTGTATATAGTGTCAAAGATTCATTCTAAAAAAGTCAATGTGGAAAGAATTTCAATGATTGTAGCCTTTAGAGTGTAAACCTTCGTATAATTGCGAAAAGCTGACACAAAACTATTGAGTTACACTGGTAAGATTGGTAGTAATGTATTAATAGAAGAAATGAAATAAAAATTAAAACATAATCCGTGTCTACACCAATACCAATAGGGGTGTGTAAAGTGTAGCATAAACACGATCCCAAGGCAGTAAAAAGGAGGGGAAACAAGGGGTATATAGAAAACTTATATTGTAACTGGAGGGAGAGAATCTAAAGAATGTCTCTAAGCGATTTCAGAGAAACTGCTATGTTTGTTAGGGTTAATCCAGCCTCCAAATCCTCTAGTGGCTGTCTCATTGACAGCCGCTAGAGGCGCTTGCGTGCTTCTCACTGTGAAAATCACAGTGAGAAGACGCAAGCGACCATAGGAAAGCATTGTAAATACTTTCCTATGAGACCGGCTGAATGCGCGCGCAGCTCCTGCCGCGTGTGCGCATTCAGCCGAAGAGGAGGATCGGAGAGGAGGAGGACAGCTCACCACCCGGCGCTGGAAAAAAGGTAAGTTTTAACCCTTTCCTCTCCCCAGAGCCGGGCAGGAGGGGGACCCTCAGGGCACTATAGTGCCAGGAAAACGACTGTTTTCCTGGCACTATAGTGGTCCTTTAATCACACACAGGAGGCTCTTGCAGGGTCTAGCAAGCTATTAACATAGCAGGGGATAAGAAAATCTTAATTAGACAGAACTTGCAATAAAGAAAGCCTAAATAGGGCTCTCTTTACAGGAAGTGTTTATGGAAGGCTGTGCAAGTCACATGCAGGGAGGTGTGACTAGGGTTCATAAACAAAGGTATTTAACTCCTAAATGGCAGAGGATTGAGCAGTGAGGCTGCAGGGGAATGTTCTGTACACCAAAACTGCTTCATTAAGCTAAAGTTGTTCAGGTGACTATAGTGTCCCTTTAATACCAGTGTAACTGGATAGTGTTGTATCAGCATTTCACAATTATACTAAGGTTTACAGTAAGGGCTATAACCATTTAGATTCTTTCCACATTGACTGTTTTTAGAATGAATCTTTGACGCTATATAAAAAGATTTATAATAGATCTATAAATTTATGACCTTGAATTGTTAATACAGTTTTTGAATTCTAATAAAAGTTAAGTTTTAACATCTGGGTTACTCTGGTACTTATAGGGGGATTTTTTTCATACCTTTTTCCCTACTACTCGCTTTCTTTGTATAAATTGTCCGTACTCCCCCCTCCACTATGTGCTGCTGTTGAATGGTTTGACTACTTTCTCTTGGAGGTCCTCTACATTAGGATGAAGTGAATATGGTGTTTGCAGTGTTCCTGTAAAAAGAGATGCAAGCCTTCTTGTCTCTGTTCCTAGAGGCAAGAGACCTTGGTAGAAAAATGTATCATTCAAATTATTAAAACTCAAAAAACACATATATATAAACAGAGCATGTGGACAGATTGATAATTTCATATGAAGGATGTTTGAAATATTTTTTGTCAAACTGGAATAATTCTAGTAAGACATTTTAAACTTTCAGTAACTGTGCAAAGATTACACACGTTTGACTGTTGGCCAAACTAGACGCCACTCTGAATCCTTGGAAAGCGTTTTAAAGGCTTACATTTAATTAGTTGGCAACGTGACAGTAATACACTCCCTGTAAACCAATTTACTATATTAATGTTAATGTCACGCTTGGGTAATATCTTGGGTAATATTTCCAAAGGATAAAACAAAAGCAGACAAAAAATGATTTTAAAAATTATTCAGGGAATTCACTGCCGTCCTGAAAATATGTGCAACAGATGCACAATTTGCTTTGTCAATTAATAATTCTAACTAGAATTCAGTGACATTAGTGCCTTGGCACACGGTTACTGAGGAACTGAGATTAATTGGCAGTTTAAGAAGGCAGTAGAAACACATCCGAGTCACTTGCAGGTTCCCTTATAAACTATAACATCCTTTAATGCCGGGTGAAATTTCTTTAGAAAGGATTATCTAAGTAGGGTACTACTCTATTGCCTTCTGTCTACAAATTATACATTGGGGTTCCTGAAGGAATAGTTGTTGTTTTTTCAGCATATTTCTGAAATTAGAGCAGTCAGCAGGAACATTTTATTTATTTCAAAATTGACTGCCCAGCCTTTCACTACTCTGCAACAGTATTATAAGTTGTTATGTACGTCTTAGCTCACTGCTACATATCACAGGCTGAAAATGGCTCAATGATATTGCAGGGGCCAATTCTAAAACAAGCTAATGCATTGTAAAATTATCTCACTATATAGATAACTCCTTAGAGGGGGTACGTTTACTCCAAAAGTAAACTATAAATGTTTAGGTTAAAAAATGCATTTTATATAATTCATTTATAAATGTATTGTCCAAAGTCATTATGTATTAGTTTAACCCTTTTCCTGATGACTGCTTGTACTGCAGTATTGCAAAGTTTCTGTAAGTTCAGCTGCATGAAGCAAGTCATTGTTTTTCTCAAATTTTTCTTTTCACCTGATTTGTTCAGTGTGAATCTGGTTGAAATACTTTATTTTATCTGGAATATTAAAGTGAGAATTTATCATTTTAAAGCAGACACCAGATGGTACCAAATGAGATGTGATTTGGTTAAACGAAATAACATTTCAACTGGATTTTTCTTTAGCAAATATGAAAATTGCAAATTTGCACTGCATCCTGTTGTTGGGTAATAACTCAGACAGTTTCTAACTGGTGTTAAAATCAGAATGTAGGATTTGCCTACCACCCTTACCAGATAGGTGTTTTTGGTGCTGATGAGAGCTTCATTACGTCTTGAAGAAACTAATTTAGTTTTGATGTTTATCTGTCGCTCCTTGTAAAGTGGATAAAATATTTTTTTCAAAAGCATCTGTGTGCAAGCTAGATTTGGTGCACTGTCCTGCCTTTAGAGTAAGTATTTTCTTACAAATGAGATAGGCATTTTCTGTATTTAGTAAACTTTCTATTTTTAACCATCCTAAATACAGGTTTTTAAAATGTCCAGTTTACACGATTTGCAGTATTTAAAATAAATATTTTGCCGTAGGTGAATTATAATTATTGGAAGTATACCATCACTTTAAAGGACCACTATAGTGCCAGGAAAACATACTCGTTTTCCTGGCACTATAGTGCCCTGAGGGTGCCCCCACCCTCAGGGACCCCCTCCCGCCCGGCTCTGGAAGGGGGAAAGGGGTTTAAACTTAACTTTTTCCAGCGCTGGGCAGGGAGCTCTCCTCCTCTCTCCGCCTCCGATCCTCCTCCTGGGCTGAATGCGCACGCGCGGCAAGAGCTGCGCGCGCATTCAGCCCGTCGCATAGGAAAGCATTTACAATGCTTTCCTATGGACGCTGGCGTGCTCTCACTGTGAAAATCACAGTGAGAAGCACGCAAGCGCTTCTAGTGGCTGTCAATGAGACAGCCACTAGAGGATTAGGGGGAAGGCTTAACCCATTCATAATTATAGCAGTTTCTCTGAAACTGCTATAATTATGAAAAAATGGGTTAACCCTAGCTGGACCTGGCACCCAGACCACTTCATTAAGCTGAAGTGGTCTGAGTGCCTAGAGTGGTCCTTTAACAGGAGTATAATATTAAACCATGACCGCATTGTAAAAAAACACTAAGTGCACCCAGATAATCTAATAAAGTGGGCTGGGTGCAGTGGCCCTGTCTTCCAGACAGCCACTAGCCACTAGAGGCGCATCCACAGCAACAACCGAATGAAAATGCTGGTAACAGGAAAGCATTGGATATTCATTGAGGAAGCAAAGCGTTTTATTCCTAGCACTATACTGTTCCTTTAATGTTATATATTTGCTAAAGGGTTCGTCTAGGCACCATGACCACTTCAGTATTTTGGTTTGAAGTATCCAGTGTGTATCAGCTTGAAACTTCGCACATACAAGGATATAGCAGCACCTGCAGCGTCATTAAATAATCAGGAACTGGCTAATGTTAAACTTGTGCATATTTGGGTTATGCCGCCAGCACCCACAGCATGCTTATGGCAGAAAACCAGGTGAGATTTTTCCTTTTCTGGGAGGGATTGGGAAATCCAGCAAGGGCAACTCTAAATATTTGTTTTTATAAAAACACTGCTTTTGGTTGGAGTAACGTTTAGGTTTTTTTTGCTTTTTTTTTTTTTTTTTTATAAATATAATCGTTAAAAGGACACTTCCAAGTACCATAAACACTGTTATGTTCCTTGCATTGGTTATGATTCCAGGAGCTCCCTTTTTGCTGTCTGCCTCAAAGAAATACTCCAATCACCATAACCATTGAACCAGTAAATGCAGTTTTGTGCAATGAATCTTACACAGAATTTACATTAGCCAGCCCAGAATTAAAGTCCCTAGCTTGCTTGTTACACGCCAGTGACGCTGTTGGAGGTGGAGTTAGTGAGGGGTTAAACTCGGTATGTGCAGCATTCCACAGTGAAACGTTGCGCATACAGACTCCAGGTGCTATGAGCACTTCAAGCCAGTGAAGTAGTCATGGTGGTTGGAGTAACCCGTTAAATCTCTACCTTATAACTTCAGAAACATGATATATAGATATTTTTATTTTCAAATATAGCTGTAGAAGTCTGATCCATTGTAGAGGTGATCGTTACCTCTACCTAGCAGTGTGTGGTGTGTTGCGTCTTTTGGTGCAATAGTTGGCTAAACTAAGTTGTTAGTGAAGAGACAAAGCATGAGAAATGAATCTTCATCCTGATGTTGCCTTCAGGAAGAGAAGACCATGATTTTACATAAACACATAAAAAAAATCGATTTCTAAAACTATGTAACCCTACAGACACAATTTAAGATAAAGTAATAATATACTTTCATATGGCACAGAACAATGCTAAAATGCACTATAATAGCCTAGATTTAAGCTAAATGTTTGGTATGCATCTTTTCCATACGCCTGCCATTGTAATTTACTATAGATTTTATATATCTTGTACTAAAATGTTTTACACATTGTTTGTGTATTTTAACACTACAAGCTTTGTTTTTGTTTTCTTCAATAAAGTTGTGCATTTTAACACTACAAGCTTTGCACTTTTTTTCCAAATACTATTTATGCCATTGTTTTGCATTCACAGTTTGTGTAGTATGTAGAATCTTTTTCTTTTTTTTTACGTTTTATTCTATATATGTGTGTGTGTGTGTGTCTCAAAAGGAATGAACACATAGTGGAACAAATAAACAATACCAAATATAATGTGTGTAATTTTATGACGCAGAAATACTAATAGATATGTTTTGACTTCTGGGTTAAAAGTGTCTCACCTTTCCTTTGTGTTGTAAAGCAATTCCGAATGCAAAAGCTATGCATCACAGTAACAAATCTGTTCAGGTTGTTTTTTACACTAATGGGAGTAGGACTACTTCACTCTTTAGGTTCTGACTTCAGTTTCAGAAAGGTGCTGTTACGTAAAATCTTTAGCAAACCACATTTCAAAAAGTAAGTTCTGAAACTATAACTTAGTCTACAATTTTAAAGTGCTCTCAAATAGTGTGCATTCTATTCCATTGGGTGTTTATGAACTCATCGTTCAATTTCACTGGTGCGCATTTAAAGACCGACTTCAATAGGTTTTATTTTTTTAAGTCAAAAAAATAGTTGATTAGGGATAAAAACGTTGTCTTTAAGAGATAATCATTTGTGCTTTTCCAGTAAAGACTGTAATGTATGAAATAAATATATTGCTTTGAAAAGAAAATGTTTGAAATAAATTTTCCACCAGATATTTATTGAAGATCTGCAATACTTTCTTGGTTTCGTAGAATTTCATTTGATCTTACTGACATAAAAAAAGGCACGAGAAAGTGTTGAACCCTGTGAGTATTTATGAAAATGTATCCACACAGGCACCACATTATTCTCTGGTTAAGTGAAATTAAAATCCAAACCACAGTCTTCAATACAGTGTGACAAGAACAGAATGTGGTGAAACACTTGAATGCTAATGGATGAATGGTAACGGCAATGGGCACAACCTTTGACAGTAATGGGAGCTGTTTTCAACAACACATCAACAAAAAAAAAAAAAATCATACATTCTAAAAACAGCTCAAGTAAAAATATATTTAATGAAAATTAAAAAGAATAAAAAAAAATCCAATAACACTAAAATTAATGCATTCATTTTGTTATCTCCAGCTTTCACATAAGGGGATTTTCTTTACTGTGCTCTTGTTCAGTATTTTCAAAATAACTTAAAAGTGAGTGGATTTAACTTATTTAGAAAAGTAATGGCTTATATTTGGTCATCAATAAAGATTTTAGTTGCTCATACCATACATATATTCATTGATTCTAATTAGGAACTAGTAATTTGGGAAATATAAATATTTTAATTTCGCAGATTTGTTCCAGTACGTTTGTTGCATTCACCTTTTTTCGCAACAGTCTGACTTTTTGTTTGTTTTTGCATACAAAAGGCATTTGCAAATGTAACCTTTGCTTTTTTTCTTTTGTTGCAATATTTTTCTAGGTTTTCTAATATGGAATGTTTACATTAGCATTAAGAATATTTGTATCATGTCAACGTGTTGTTCAGATTTCTGTAACTAGGTATTAATACCACATAGCACAGACACATCAAACTAATACAATTACATATCATTAGATGTATTTTTTCTTCAAGTACCAGTAGGCAAAATATCCCATTCCTCCCAATGATCCCATGAGAAATGATGCCCCAAAAAAAGATGGCGGTTTTCGTTTCACAAGTCGGAATGCGTTGGGTAAAACAGCTGATAAAAGCGTAGTGTGGATATCTCCCAATACTCTTCGAAATGCATATCTTTTCTGTATTCTCTCAAAAAAAGACTGCAAGTTTGGTCTGCTTCCATCTTCCCAATATTTTCTGGAAAGTCCTAGGAATTTAAGTCGATGCAATGTAGCTCCAAGTAGGATGTCGGCTAGGGTGAAGACTGGTCCACAAAGCCAAAGTTCACATTTCTGACCTAGAAAAAAAAAAGGGCATTTTACATCACTATTTTAAGGCACATTTACTTTGAATAAACATGTTTAATTTGAACAAATTATATGATAACAAGCAATACATTAATCAACAAAGCATTAATGCAGTTTATACTTTGTGAAAAAAATGTCTTTAAAGATTGTAACTTTTATTACCCGTCTCTTGTCCTTGGACCAGCACACACCTGATTCTTATAGATCGTCCATTTAATGTGTATATTTTTGAATCTCTAGCTTGATTTATATATTTATTCACATATTCCTTACAGCAAGGCCAACAGGTAGGATTTTAAGAGATTATATGGTATCCCTTATCTTGCAATCATCTAGACTAATTCTGATTTATTAGCCGAGAATCCCAATCCATTCATCTAGACACACCATCAGTCCAGATTTTATCAGTATCCCCACTGGAACAAAACTGGGAAATGTCTAAATCCCGGACTGAAGGTGTACCGTGAGGACTGTGTGGCCCCTTTAAGGCTAGAAACCAATGACATTTATCACAATATAAGAATGATTATGGCATTTACATTGTCTCACAATGGAATTAATCTTGTTGATAAAGAAAAAGTGAGAAAAAAAACTACGCTGTGTGTTGTACATAATAAAGATGTTGGATATCAAGATACAAACCCATATTTTCCAGAGCTTTGACCCCGAATATTTTGTTACCGATAAAGTGTTCCTGCTCATTTAAGCTCATTAACTCTTTATCTGCGAATATGATATCCCCCCCCCAGCAACAATGGTGTGTGCAATCTTGGAATACATGTTCTACGTGGTAGTCTAGGTTGAAAAAAAAGATTAAAGTCCAACACTTTGCTGCCTTTTACAGAACGCTGTCTGTAGCTGATCCAAAAGATGAAAATTGCAAAAGAAAATCTGTGGTTATGAGTTTGATATAATAGTTATACTTTTTAGTTTTACATTTACTAGAGCTGTTATACTGGCTCTGTTAGAGACAGCGGTTAGAACTATTACAGGATGGTAATTTCTTTAAATGTGTATTATATAGTTTCAAACTAAATATAGAGTTGCGTACATCTGATTGTTATCGGTAGATTTTCCCAGAGATATCTGAATTCTAACAGTTTTTTTTAATAAAAATTATATGCATATTAAAGTAAGTAATACTGTTTTAGAGTTAATCCCTATTGCAACCCCGATCTGTGCTCTTAACCCATCACATGGCTCATCTGCAAACATCTCTGGAAACGCGTTTCACTATGCACATGTACCAGTGAATCAAAAATAGAGCAAATTAGAACACTAATTCTAATACCAAATGTAGTGCAGGACACCTGAAAATAGAAGACATTGCTAAGTATGACAAGGTCAAAATGACAGAACGAATTTCTTTCTTAGTACCATGTATGCCGTCTGTGTAAGGTGGAAGGAATGCCAGCAGAGGGCGGTACCCTGCTTTCACCTAACTACATCCAGAAAAGTCTCAACTTTCATCTAAAATGTACATCCTTCTACATACATTCTGTCGCTGTTTAATTTAAGAAACACTACCAGCAGTTTATAAATATATTTCACAGAAAGAACACCTGCCTAACTCACAAATTGTCAAGGGTGAAGCTTAGTTGCTTTTTTGCTCATTCTGGGTACAATCTGCCATTTTCTGGTAAAAGTGGCCTGTTTTCAGCATGTTTATGTATGCTACAACTAAAAAAAAATCTTATAATTATTTTTATTATATAAGGTTGGATGGCACCTGATATGATTACTACTTAGTAGCTTTTGTGATGCAAAGTTGGTCCAGTGGCCCCATATCAAAGCACATGCTGCATTCCTGATTTACAAAGCCCAATCGTTATTGAGCCAACCCAATTAGTGTCCCTGCCACTACTCACCCCCATTATTGTCTCTGCCACAACCCAACTCATTAATGTCTCAGCCCTATCACCAATTAGAGTGTCTGTCCCCAACCCCCATATTTATCCTCTTAAAGGACCACTATAGGCACCCAGACCACTTCAGCTTAATGAGGTGGTCTGGGTGCCTGGTCCAGCTAGGTTTAACCCTTTTTTCTATAAACATAGCAGTTTCAGAAAAACTGCTATGTTTATAAATGGGTTAATCCAGCCTCTAGTGGCTGTCTCATTGACAGCCGCTAGAGGGCTTCTGCGCTTCTCACTGTGATTTTCATTGTGAATGCTTTCCTATGGACTGGCTGAATGCGCGCACAGCTCCTGCTGCGCATGCGCATTCAGCAGAAGAGGAAGAGAGGAGGCGGAGAGAAGGAGGAGAGCTCCCCACCCGGCGCTGGAGAAAGAGGTAAGTTTAACCCCTTCCTTCCCCCCAGAGCCCGGCGGAAGGGGGAACCTGAGGGTGGAGGCACCCTCAGGGCACTATAGTGCCAGAAAAACGAGTATGTTTTCCTGGCACTATAGTGGTCCTTTAATGTGCAAATTCTGGTCTCCAGCCAATCAGGGAATAGACATGCGATATGTCGTCCCCCACCCACCACAATGACTCTGGCATGAAGTGGAACCAGAGGCTGGACAGAGTAAAGGGACAGCAGCTTGGTACTTACTACAAAGTGGGGTCTGGCCAACGAGGATTTCAGGCACTTGGTCTGCCCCTCAGAATGAAGGCCACATTCCCCTGTAGCAGCACTGCAGGTCTGAAGGTCTGAAGGCAGATTAAAGCTGCCTGCTTAGCGCCCAGAACTATATGTCGTCAGGCCATAGGAGTTCCACATCCCTGATTTTGCAGTAAACTTTTAGGCTCATTTTCCCACCATTTCGTTAACAGATCAAGTGAAAAAAGTAACCAGTAGTGGGTTAAAGAAGAGAAGCGGGACAAAAATCTACATTTCTATATGAAATTTATAAAATAGGAACATGGATTTTTTTTTCACTCTATTGGTCACTACTCATGTGATCTGTGAATAAAATCTAAATTTACCGGCTGTCCCCTAGGCCACCAATCATGTGTTTTGTTTTTGTAACCACAGGTTGAACTCTGACTCCCGTAGCAAACAAACATGCTCGTCCAACTCGCT